AAAAAAAAAAAAAAAAAGGAAGAAAGTAACTTCAGGATGGCATTACAAGTAATTTTTCCACCCTCCAGCATAAGAAATGAGATAAAGTAGAAAAGGAAAAAAACTCTATATTCCTAAAGTGTCCCTACTCCTGTTTTTAGAAGAAGACAACATGTAAAGCACAAACAGCATTGTTCACTTAAACGTTAGCTTCTCCCCATATGTAAATACATTGTTTTTCTAAAGCACATCCCTCCGCAAATTCTATGTAAGGTAACTGTATTTCTTGATGGAATATTGAATGAGAATTATCAGCTTTCAGTGTTTCTTTGTACAGTGTTTATCTGACTTCATTTTTTTGTTTTTTTGTTTGGTTTGGTTTGGTTTGGTTTGGGGTTTTTTTTTGGTATCAGGAATTGAACTCAGGACCTTGTACTTGTGAGGCAGGCGGCACTGACTTCACTTTTGATTCCTAAAATCAGTAGTTATCAAAGCGTGGTTCCATTTCAGCAGCATCAGCAGCCCTTGAGAACTTATTAGAAATGCAAATTCCTAGATTCCAACCCAAATCTGCTGGATCAGAAACTTCAGGGATGAGTTCAAGCTGTGTATTTGTATTCAGCAAACCCTGAGGATTGGTGGAGGGTGGGTTCTGACACAAGCTTTCATTTGAGAGCTGCTGATTTACAAAAGAACTAGTTTACTACTGGGTCAAAGTCAGTGTATTTTATCATGGTTATTGTTGAGATAGCACACTGATTCATAAGAGAGGGTGTTTTCCCTGCAAATATGCTTCAGGGTTACAGTTTACATTTGATAGAGAACTATTAGAGATTAGATAAAGGATGCAAGCAAAGCTCTATTGTCAGAACTCAGGACAAAGAGTGACTGCAGTGCAGAGAAAAGCAGGCGCAAGCCTGGTTGCTCAGGAAATAAACACTTTCCACACCTTTGGGCCTGGGAAAGCAGGGGCAGCCAGGAGCCTGGCCTGAGGGTCAGACTGGTCACAACCCCACTGTGTGAACTTGGGTAGGTCCCTGAACCTCGCTCTCCCTTCTTTTCCTGTAACATTTATCTCACTGTATTAAATAACTTTGTAAATTTTAATCAAGAGGAAAAAGAATGTACTTCTTTTTGCTAGATCTTACCCACTATTGAACTCTTCCTTTGAGGGTTATGAGTAAAAGGGGATTATAGTACAACAAAGCTCATGTGTGCATACACACACACACACACACACACACACGTACACATATACACGTCCAGTTTTTTACCTAAAATATCTCAAAGTATCAAAAGGATAGGATATTGCTAGGCAGAGTAAGATTTAGAGAAAGGGTAATAAAAATGTCACTAAAAATATGTAATCTCTATGTCAATGGTGGTGAACCTCTGGTATGCGTGTTATTTTGGTTTTAAGACAGAAGATGTTAATGTATAATTTTTTTTCTAAATAAAATCTCAGTATTCAGGTTTAATTGCAGTGTTGGTACTTTGTGATAAAAAAGTGGGTTTGGGGATGTAGTTTGGGCACTCAGTCACTAAAAGGTTTGCCATTACTGCTCTAGGTCAGCCGTTAAAAACACACACACGAGGTCCTTTGAACTTGAAAGTTCTCTTAAGTTATTAACCCCCTAGCTTCATCTTCCATTGTATTCTTTCAAACCTGACCTATGGCCTGGCAAGTGTAGCAGTCTTCCCTGCCCTCTGCAGGGAAAGAGGTACAGCCCTCTGGATAGTTCCCATTCAGGTGACTACACTCATGCCATCCTCTGAAAGCCTTGTGATCTCCCTAACCTCGATAGGTGCAAGTTTCTGAGTCTGCCTCTGTCTTACAACTTGATCCGACTTTTCCTTTATTCCTGAAACTTCTCCGAGGAGTTTCTTCCTAATCACTGCTCCAAAGTTTTCTGCACAAAGCCCAGACTCCTGCTCAGGATGGAAATGTCTGCCTGCCCACCAGCTCCTGTTCCCTATGAGCACTTCATACACTCACATCTACTGTGCCTTCCTCTTCCTTCTTACAGGGCCGCAAATCACTCTTGCAGGCCCTTCAAAATTAACATAGTAGCTTTCTACATCAGCCACCTGAGGGTCTACCGCCCAGGGCTCTCCTCTGTAGTCTCTGGAGCAGTAATATATTGCTTCATTCAAGAGTATGTGTTGAGCCTCTGCCACCTGATATAATCACAGAGCAGATCTGTGGCCTTAAGTAGCTTCCATGCCAGCATGAGGAGACAGATGACAGTCAACACAAGAAGCAAGCAAACCTTTGTTAGGCACAATCTATGTTATGGACAAAATCAAAGGAAGAGGGAATATGAAGTTATGGGGAGGGTTGCGCCAATGGGGTAGCCAAGCTAAGTCACACTGAGGAAGTAGCATTTGAGTCAAGACTTGAAAGGTGAAGAGTGGCTGGGATGCCCATGTCCCCAAGCTTTCAGGAACTGAAAGGGTTCATGTAGCTGACCCCAGGGAGCCCATGGGAGAGGAGTGGATGTGAGGCCAGCAAGAAAGGCAGGGATAGGGAGATGGGTTGGGGGGTGTCCTAGATCACAGGAACTGAGCAGCAGTATTACTGTACCTTTCCTTCTCTGAAAGTCTCTAATTCCTGTCCCAAGCAGTGGCTCAGGACTTTCACAATCAGTGTAATCAGTGTGATCTATGGACACCTCACAAGCATTACCTTTGGGATTGTTTTTTGGGGGGTGTATTTTTGTTTTTGTTTTTGTGTTTTTTTGTTGTTTTGTTTTCTGAAATAATAGTGTCTGCACAGATTATTTTCCAAAATAGACCACATACTAGCTCATAGAACATGCTGAAGTAAATGCAAAGGAATCGAAGTAATCTCCTGTGTATTATCAGACCATAGTGCAATTAAACTGTAGATCAGTAGCATAAGAAATTGCAAGAACTTCACAAACACATAGAAATTAATAACACCCTGCTGAACAACCATTGGTCACAGAGGAAATGAAAGAAGAAATTAGACAATTTCTACAATGAAATGATAATGCCAATACAACATACAGGATCTGTGGGACACAATGAAAGCAGTTCTACGAAGGAAATTCATAGCTGAAATAATACTGTTACCATACCTTGGCTCTCAGACATACTCTGACACTGATTTTATGTGTTGCAGCATGACTGTTGGCCTCATGAAACATTACTCTGACTGCTTTTTCATTTACAAATGGGAATGCAGTAGCTCTACTCTAAATAGAATATTGATTTATCCAAACAGAAGATAACCCTGATTCGAACACTGCTTCCCGGTTCTTGTTACACTGTAAAAGGAACCTTTATTTAAAGAGAATGTATTAATTCCAAAACTGCCACTTAAAAATTGTACCCTCAAGGACACAAGAGACAGAAACTCTTGACCTTCAGCTGATAAAATATTTTGAAAATAGAAAGCCTTTAAATATAAACCCAAGGAGGTTCCTTGGATTGCACATTTTTTCCAGCTTGTCCAGAGATGACTGGGCCCATCAGAACTGTTTTACAGGAGATGACCCCGTGGAGTAATTCTGTTTCCCATTTTGTAATAAGTCCTTCTTGAATAAACCTCCCCTCCCACAAGCTAGAAAGTAAAAATTTGAACATAATTCGTAATTCATTCTCATCTTACTTTTGCCTGTTTAAAAAAAAATCTTTTTAAGTACATAAGTACATGTTGGGTAGTGTGTATATATATATATATATATATTAAATGAAGATACTACATATCTGTATACTATATAAAGAAGCAAGAAACACACTACAGTGGTTTTCAAAATACCTTTTTATTAATGCAATTCCAACAGTTTTAATTTCTGGTTCTGAAATTTTATGCTTGGAAATATATTCTTGTTTTTTTTTTGTTTGTTTGTTTTTAGTTTTTCAGATTTGTGCAGATTTTGCATGAGACTCAAGGTTTCTCTTTGGAGAAAAGAAAATTTTCTCAAAAATATTTTTATATAACTACCTTCAGGGCTTAATCTGCTTTATAATATCCCAAAATTGCTTAGTCTTTTTTATGTTGTCAAAGTCATCTTGTACCAAGTCACTCATTCAGATCTCACAACTTCCAAGAACGATAGGACATTTTTGAATGAAAAATTTGAGCAAAGAATGATGAAATGATTTTTTTTCAAAGACATACTTCTCACAGTAAAGGGATAGTAACTCTCCTGGCTTTATGGTACAACCTGTCTTTAAACAGGCTTCATTAGAAAGGAAAACAGTATTCCAGTGCCACTGTCTTTGGCAAGCTTTGGGTTCTTTATCTGTAAAATAGGAACAGTAATTATTTCTGCCTTAGCAGCAGTGAAGATAAGTGAGCTGTGAAGTAACTCTGGGCCTCTTTCCTCTGCAGCGATACACTGCTTCCCTTACGTGAAGAAGCGGATCCCTGTCATGTACCAGCATCACACTGACCTGAACCCCATTGAAGTGGCCATCGACGAGATGAGTAAGAAAGTGGCTGAGCTCCGGCAGCTCTGCTCCTCGGCAGACGTGGACATGATCAAACTGCAGCTCAAACTCCAGGGCAGCGTGAGCGTTCAGGTGAGTGAGCCTGGTGGGGGCAGCCTGAGGACAGAGAGGGAAAGCGTCCTGTGCCTAGGGATCTCAAGTTCCCATGCCAGCGAGGTCTAGGCCACACCCTGATTTGCCAGGTGACTCCGTTACCTTCCCTGGGGTCTGTTTAGCTTCTCTAATATCAGACAGAATGACAGCCTTACGGCCTCCTCCCAATCTTACCTGTGACCTGTCCTCACTGGGCTGCCTGCTGGGGACGAGAGACCCCTCTCCACAGTGCCCTGACTTTTCAGTAACTGGGGGAATGCTCAGTTCCTAGTTTGAAACATTAAGAGTCTTGAATATAAAAAGGGTGCATAGTAATAGGTTTTCCTATAAAACTGTTGCAGAATTACATCTGAAAAAGCACCTTAAGTTTCACTCTTAATGGTATTTTAATTAGTGAAATGTCTTCATTTCAATATAGCCCATCTAATCAGTTTTTCCTTTCCTGGTAGCATTTTCTGTGTCCTTTTTAAGAAATCTGTGCCTCTATTCTTAGAGTTAAAAATGTTCCCCTGGCTTTTTCCTCTTTTGTTCAGCATTCACACTCAGATTTGCAGTCCATCTGGAATTGAGTTCTGTATGTGGTATAGTTTAAAGACCATGATATACTTTTCCATATGACCATTCATATGGCATACACCATTTATTGAAAAGTTCACCTTGATCTAGGTTCTGATTTACAGTATTCTTAAGCTATAAAAGTCATCAAGTAAGCACACAGCTGTGGTCCTATCAGTCAGGAGGCTGACACAGGAGGATTGCCACAAGTTCAAGGCCAGCCTGGAATATATAGTAAGACCCTGTCTCAAAAAAGACAACAAACAAAAGTCATCAAGCTTATGATACATCAATACTTATGCTACATGTTCTTTTTCTGTTAATGTATTACATTTCAATAAGAGATCTTTTAAAAAGTTATCTTACTTTTATAAGATCTTTTAGGTAATTGATAAATTTGAAATCACCTTCATCTGGTGACTAGTATGTCCCTTTTGTTGTAGTTTTAGATGTGTTGAAGTGATTCAAGCACATGTTTGTATATTGTTTTCTCTTTCAAGTGAGTGAGTTTATGACAGTTACATGTAGATATACTTTATAGATTCAGATTTCTTTTATTCATTTTCTGAAATCAGTTTCTGTCAATGTTTCACCAGATCCACAGTTAAAGAGCCATGAGTTGCTGCCTAAAATTTTTGTAAATATCATTGACCGCAGAAGTACTTAGAGATGTTTCTAGTTGAAAAGATTATGTGCTGAAGTTGACCTGGGAACATCAGTCTGTCAAAAGCCAGTGGAGGGGTGCTGGTGCCATAAGGTTGGAACCAGACAGACTGACATTTCTAAAGGACAGAATATACCCTGCCATTTGACGGTGGCCTTTGAATTTTATAAAATGCCCAGGTGTCTTAGAAAACAAAGAGTTTCATATTGAAGTAAAGAAATTAAGTGTATATTTGTGCCCACACAGATAACAACAAAGTTTGGGCCACAAGAAATTAACTGTTGGGTTTTTTTGTTTGTTTGTTTTTGTTTTGTTTTTTGAGACAGGTTCTCACTATGTAGTTGAGACTGACCTGGAACTCACTATGTAGCCCAGGCTGGTCTCGAACTCACAGCAATCCTCCTGCCTCAACCTACCGAGTGCTGGGATTACAGGCATGCGCCACCATGCCCGGCTTTAACTCTGTTGTTTTATTTATGCATTTTATGCATATTTTATTTATCCATTTTATGTAATGCTGGCACCAAGAGGCTCACTGGGATTGCTTCTTTACAGGACAGAGCTATCTGTGTGCCATCTCAACACTACACACCAAGATCTTATTTTATAGTTTTGAGCTTTCACTAACTTTCCTCTTTGTGTATTTTTAAAATTGACTGTCAGCCAAGTGGGGTGACACACATCTGTAATTCCATTACTCTGGGAGGCTGAGGCAGGAGGATTGCAAGTTCAAACCCATCCTGGGCAACTTAGCAATAATCTATCACCAATAAAAAATGAAGAAAAGTGCCCTGTGCATGTAACTCAATGGTAGACCACCTCTGGGTTCGATCTCCAGTACTGGAAAAAATACCATCTTGTATCATTTAGATAGTTACCCATTTGGGTCATCTTCACGCTAGCATGCTTCTCACACACATCTGGCCTAATGCCAAGTCTTGCCCATAGACAATCAGTTATCATAGGAGATCAGCTATCTCGGAGGTCCCACCTCTGAACACTATGGCTTATACCCTTCCATCTCTTCACATCTGGAGTGAATTTTTGTGGCTTAGTTCTTTTGCCAGTACTACTGAAGTCCCCCACACTATTAATAAAACTTTACCCAGGCAGTTTTTCCTGCCTCCTTTCTGTCCAAGTCCCCAAAACCTTTCAGAAAAAATCATACAGTGAGTCCTTCTCTAAGCTCTCTCAGGTACCTGGAAGATTCTTCTTCCTATCTAGCCTTTAAATGTGCAGACTTGAGCAGGAACTTAAGTTACCAAGCCTTGATCCCATCTTCCCTGAAGTGAACGCTCATCACAAGAGCCAAAGGTGGCCAAGATGACAGAATCATCTGATGTGTGACAGTGTAACCTTTATTCATGGTTTCCCCTGGGTCATAAGTTCATGGAAGACAGAGCCATGATCATCTCACTCAGACAGCAGCTTTAATGCATGCCAGCTAAACCCAAGTAGGTGATCATGGTAATTTTCTAACATGAATTAAAATCTTTTCTCTTTATCTAGGTCAATGCTGGCCCCCTAGCATATGCCCGAGCCTTCTTGGATGACATGAATACAAAAAGATATCCTGACAATAAAGTGAAATTGCTAAAGGAAGTTTTCAGGTAAAGCAGACTGCAATCTTGTCTGTGCTCCTTTGGGAAAGAGATGCCACCAGTTAGGCTCATTCTTTTCCCTCTGTGCACCTTTATGTCCTCTCCTGCCCCATTTCAGGCAATTTGTGGAAGCTTGCGGGCAAGCCTTGGCAGTAAATGAACGCCTGATTAAAGAAGACCAGTTAGAATATCAGGAAGAAATGAAGGCCAACTACAGGGAAATGGCAAAGGAGCTTTCCGAAATCATGCATGAGCAGGTAAGTGCCATTTTGGCTCTGGCAACTGGCAGTTCTGACTTGGGGAATGTGGATTCACGGGGATCTCAGATACAACCCTGTCATAATAATCCTGCCAGAATCTCCTTTCTAAAGGAAAAAGTAACATGCCACACTCCTGCTACCTCACCCAGCTCACTTGGGGAACAACTGACCGATTTCTCATTTATTATCTGAAACAACCTGGGAAAGCACCATCCACCTCACTGCTGCTCTTAGAGGTGCTGCATTTCATAACTTTAACAGTTCTATCCCATCCAGTCAAGTGAAGCTGCACTGTTCTTACATCTTTATTTGTACACTTAATCTTTTGAAAGAACAAAGTGCACCAGCCTAGTTTATAGATATCTGTAGCATCAAATGTCTTTTGTCAATTAAAAATAGAGTCATTCTGTTAGGGATGACTTACAGCTCACCCGTAAGCCCCAGGGGATTTCTTGTGGTGACTTATTTTTGTTTGTTCTCATTGTGGCTATCTTTCCTGATCTCATTGCTCTTGTCTATATGAATTCCCGTATACATTTTCTGTGTGGGCTCAGTTGTCATGAGGAGAGACATCTGACAGGTATACTAAGTGAATGTCAGAGTGTCACCCACATTCATCTGAGTCACTGTCCTACTCTTTAGCAGTAGCATTAGCACCTTGATCGTACATAAGGGGCCTTGTTTGTTTCCTACATTATGGTCCTTTGGTCGTGCAGAGTGGAAGCCCTTCGTATCAGCTGTCCTATCACATGACGATTTAGTTAGGAAACTCCATTGATTGCAAAGTGTAAGCTTTAACTTACTGCTTTTTTTTCTCCTCCATGCTGACGCACTCAGATGGGATGGTAATGTCATTTTTAAATTTTATTTTTCTGATAAACTAAGTCATCTAAATTGATTCACACAAAGTTATTTCTGAATTTGAAGAAATACTGGACAGTGCACATACAAAGGAAAGCACCCCTCTTCTGGACATTTTAAAAAGTATTTAACTGTTGAACAAATGAATGTGTGAGTAAGCATAAAGAGAGGGGGTCTCATATGAACAAATTCATGGAGAAAATTTAAGGTCTTTTTCATGGAACCTCCAGATTCCTATAGAATGGACAGCTTAATCAATAGGCATCAGCATTCAGTGCTAGAAAAGATGGATATCAGAAGAAATTATGGGCCGAAACTTAATATCCCAGATTAGATGGATATCAGTTGCGTGATTTGCTCTCTAATTGTACTTTGAACCTCCCATTATGTCAAATAGAGTGAAGATTAAACAAACCCCTTTGAACCCTTAAACAAAAAGATTGTGAGCTGGGATAGTTGCTTTTTGTGTTTGCAGAAGAGCCTCTGTGTGATTGAGTCCTACACTCAGATTCCTTCCCAATGACACTGGCTGTGAAAAGATATCTTATTCGGGGCAGACGGTGACCAGTCTCTTACCCAGGATGGAAATTTCTAAGACTCTCGGAAAAGGAGACAGGAAAGAAACAGAGATGGTCCAAATTCATTACAAAAGGCCTAGGGCCAGGGATTTAGCTCAGTGGTTCCACCATCTGCCTCACAAGTACAAGGTTCTGAGTTTGATCCCCAGTACCAAAAAATAAAGGCCTTTTTAAAGGGACAAGGCAAGGTCATGTCCCAATCAAGTTGTAAGCTGGACCTCAAGTTACCTTAAGATCTGATGAGCCTAGAAGGCTCTCCATTCACTAACTTGTAAAGGAAACAAAACATGTTGTTCTTGACTTTCTCCTTACATTTTTGATCTGAAAATAGTTATTTAATAGATAAGCTGAAACACCCTCTCCCTGCAAACTGCCAAAGCCACGCCATCTGTGTGCACCGTTATTCGTTAGTAGTGGAGCGACCACCGGATGCCAGGCTGTGCATGTGACCTGGAACACACTATTTTGAGAAATGTCTGTTTGGGGCCTGATGCTTTGGTAATGTTATGTTTCTGTGCCTCGAGATCTGCCCCCTGGAGGAGAAGACGAGTGTTTTGCCGAACTCCCTTCACATCTTCAATGCCATCAGTGGAACTCCAACAAGCACAATGGTTCATGGGTTGACCAGCTCGGCCTCGGTTGTGTGATTTCTCCTCGTAGACCATGTGCGGAGACTTTGTCATTGCAAACTCAGGATGATTTCTAAGCTAATCACTGGGGAGACCGAGCACTGGGAGAAGCCATGGGGAATGGGAGAGAAAGGGAACAAGGACTGTGATATTTCATAGCAGATTTTCTACCGGAGTTGGAAGAGGGTATGCATATTTTTTTAAATTTCAGTGGCAATATTCAGAGTTTTCCTCGTGTCTTAACAGAGATGTGTTAAGCTGGAGTTAAGTTTTATTCTTCCTTACAGAGTAGTATTAAAATAAATGGCCTAAAGAAGAAAAGTATTCCAGAATGGATGTAGCAGGGACAGCAGCACTGAAACTGAAGCAGGGGTCTTCTGCCTCTGGAATAAGCTGGAAAATCTTGAAAATATTATTTTTCCCTGTGGTACATTCAGGGTGAATACAAGAACTATTTTTGTGACTAGTTTTTGATGACGTAAGGGAACTGATCATTGTAATTTTTGTACCAGTGAACGAGGAGATTTAGTGCTTTTATACTCATTCCTTGCATTTAAAACATAGGAAAGCTTAAGAAACTATGAGAGCTTAAAACTAGTCAAGCAGTTTAGAACCAAAGGCCTGTACTCACAAACACAACTATGCTAAAAAGTGAAAAGTAGTACAATATGTCACTGTGTACATACAGTTTGTTAATACAGTCTCAGCATTCTGTATATACATGTATTACATTTCTACATTTTTAATACATCTGCTTCCACATTAAGTTTAATTGTGACAAATTTGTGCTGTTCTTAGTATATGCAATACACCTGACTTTACTGTTTTATTCTTGTACATAAAGAAAAGTGCAATATAGAGATGTATACAGTCTTTGCTATTTTAGGTTTAAAAACTTAAAGATCTCATCCTTTTGCCAAAATGATGGAATCTGTGATTGATAAATCATAAATCCTGTGGTGAATGGGGATATAATTTAAAGCTTTCACCATGTTGTGTTTTCTTTTAAGACATTAATTTAGTAATTTTATATTTGGGGAAATAAAAATTTTTAATTTTATTTAACTGGAATCACTGCCCTGCTGTAATTAAACATTCTGTACCACATCTGTATTAAAAATAACATTGCTGATTTTCTGGTAATGAACACTGGGTATTTATTATTTGACAGTCCCAAGAGAATTGAAATTCTGTGAAAGTGAAATGACATGGTAGCTGAAATTTTCTCTAAAATACTTGAGGAAAAAGAGAATAGATAAACAAGAGAGATAAAATGTTAGTAATTACTGAAGTTGAGGAGGGATGCATCACACCAGTTCTCTGCTTTGTGGACGTTTCCATGACATGGTTTCGAAAGGCAGGTCTCGGGGTCCAGGGATTTAGCTCAGTGGTTCTGGTTCCACCACCTGCCTTGCCAGTGCAAGGACCCAAGTTTGATCCCCAGTACCCCCCAAAAAAAAATTGGTTTGGGGCTTTTATACTTCGGCAGGGCTGGGATGAATGCTTCATCCTGTGCTCTGGCTCGGGACTGCACCAGTTATTCCCAAGCACATGTAGATGCCTTATTACTCTGGCTTCTCCTCCTCAGTTGGATCAAGGCTGCCATCTTTTCATCTTCCTTATTTGCTTTTAGACAAATACTCTGGGACTGCCCCTCTGCCCCACATTGTTACATACACTGACCTGGGCTGCCTGACATTCAGATCACAGGGGCTGGTCCTCGCTCTGTGTGCCCAGCCTGTGAGTCAGCTCATTGTCATTGTCACTCCGCCCTGTGTAGTGCTGGTGTGGGAGAAAGAGACTTTCTACGAGGAATAACTTAGTGATTGTTCTACCTGATGGGTTGGAAAGGCCTTTCACCTGACCGGTTAAGAAAAGACAACTTGTTAATAGTTAATAGTACATATAGATGTCCCTCATAGTGGGGTTGCGTCCCAGTAAATCCATCATAAACTGAAAAGATTTGAGCCTCAACCACTTAAGGAATGGAAGGGCTAAAATGCAGACAACCATAGGAGCATCCACAGAGCCACTCCTCCTGGGTATGACAGAGTTCTGGGGCTTTTTCCAGTACCGGGGATTGAACTTGTGTTTGCAAGGTAGGTGCGGTGCCACTGTGCTAAATCCCCCGCCCATGAGGCTTTTATATTTGGGAATTTAGTTGAAAATAGAAGTCAGATTCAAGGGAGAGTCTAGGCTGGAGGAGATACCACTATTAAACATCTTAAATGTCACTATCTAATGTCACTACTATAAGAGGCCAGAGATGAACCAACACAAAAGACCAAAAGGAGAAGCCTGTGATGTCTCCCTCTGCAAGTCAGTGGGAAAGCTGCATCACTCCCCATCTCATGGGAGACCAGTCCGTGGGATCATCAAGGCTGAGAAAGAACACCTTCCTGTTTAGAAGAGCCAAGAACAATGGTTACAATGGTTCCTTGAAGTCTGTGTCAGCTAGAATTTGTCTGGAATGTTGCCCCACTAGTTGAGATGGGGCAGTGTCACCTACAGGTGTGCTGGTGATTGTACCTGGCATTTACCTAGGAGCTTCCTATGCCTTATAAAGGACCCACAGGTGAGGAATAGAGGCTGGATTGCTAGGCCTTAGAAATTGGAACAGCATAATTGTTCCCCAGGTGGAGGAACATAGAACTCCAAAAAAATAGATCCCCCCCAAAATAAAAGACTCAATCAAAAATAGGCAGCTGAAATGAACACGTCTCAGAAAAATTACAAATGGCCAATACATGAAAAAATATTCAGCATCTATGGCCATTAGAGAAATACAAAGTAAAACAACACTGAGATCTCACCTTACTCCAGAGAGAATGGCTATCATCAAGAATTCAGACAACAAGCCAGGTATAGTGGTGCACACCTGTAGTCCCAGCACTCAGGAGGCTGAGGCTGGAGGATTGTAGTGAGTTCGAGACCAGCCTGGGCTACACAGTGAGTTCCAGAGCAGTCTGAACTACATAGTGAGACCCTGTCTCAAAATAAAAAAAAAAAAATCAGACAACAAATGCTGGTGAGGCTGTGGAGGAGAAGGGACTCATATAGTGGGGGGGCGGAATGTAAACTAGTATGATCAATATAGAGATTTCTCAGAAAACTAAAACTAGAAATTCCATTTGACCCAGCTAATCCACTTGTAGGTATCTTTCTGAAAGAGTCAAAGACATACTACATTGATAGCATGCATACCCATGTCTAGAGCAGCACGGTTCATAATCGCTAAATCTTGGAAGTGGCCTATATGTCTACCAATAGATAAGTGGATAAAGAAAATGGACATTTATGCACAGTGGAGTACTACTCTGCCATAAAGAAGGATAAACTTGAATCATTTGGATGGACACACTTGAGACCATAATGTTAAGTGAAATCAGACACACAAGCTCAAATATCATATAGTGTCTCTTATATGAGACACCCGAACTATAAAGAGCAAAATAAAAGATAATAGGAAGTAGGAAGATAGATTTTTTTACTAAAGGGAAGGGGCCAAGAGATGGAGGAAGGTGGGAGAGGGGGTGGAAGAGGGGATGAAAGAGACCCAAGATGTGTTATGTGCATGTACCAGTGTCCCACAATGAATGTGATTATTGTGTACTACAAACATACTAAAATAATTTAAATCAAACGTAAAAATTGGGGCAGTAGTACCACTGAAATTAGTGCCCAGACCTAAGGTTACGAGAAGTTGAGAATCAATGACGTGGTATCCCTGGACACAAGGCATCGGACTGAACTCCAAACAATGCTCAGTGGGCCCTGGCACATCACTCAGTGAGGAGGCTCAAAGACAGTCCAGACGAACCTTTGCTCCTGGAGTGACTGACCCGCCGCTCCATGGTGGGACAGGCTTAAAGCACCCTCCTTGCCCAAGTTGATCAGTCTGTTGCAAGTACCAGTCATGGCTTCTCATTGGTGCCTCCCACATACCAGCACTTTGCAGGCGTTGTTATCTTTGTGCTCAGAACAATCCTGTCAGGTAGGAAGTGGTTTCATATAAAGAAATCAAATCCAGAGAGATGGATGAAGGTCCCACAGTAACGGGGGCTGGGATCCTCATTGAGACTTGTCTGACCTCGGGGGCTGGTCAGCTGCTGACGATGAGTGACTGTCCCCTGGCTAGGCTGGGTTGCTTAGGACCTCTGAACCATATGGGCCTCTGCAGAAGCTGTTGTCCTCCAGGAAAGGGGGGCTACATATTCCGGGCTGAATTATATTCCTCAAACACGCATATGTTGAATTCAGAATATGGCTGTGTTTTAAAGTCTGTGGGCAATTAACATGAGACTAAGGCTAGCCCAAATCCAATAGGATTAGTGTCCCTGTAAGAGCAGATTTGGACATGGACACACACAGGGCAGACCATGTGAAGACACAGAGAGAAGATAGCCATTGAAGAGCCAGAAGGAGAGAAATAGAGCAAATGTCTCCCTTAGAGCCTTCAGCAGGAACCAACCCAGCCTATGCTCTGGCCTTGGACTCCTGGCGCACGGGAGGGTGAGGCGGTACATTTCTGTTTAAGCCGTTCCCCTGTGGGACCTTGTTATGGCAGCCCAAGCAAACGAACTCAACAAGCCTCGTAGCAGTCAGCTGTCTGCTGAGGCTTCCACCAGGAGGCATGGAGGGACTCACAGAATGTCACAGAGCCAGCACAGAAAAGAGGACAGTGAGTCTGGAGAAACTAACCTTTCCACTGAAACCAGTATTGGGAAATAATAATTGTTACCATTGGCCATAGTGGGCCTGTTGGACCAGTTCTTAACAGTGCCCTTCCTAGGAGTGTAGGAACAGTGATGGGCCATGTTGCCTGGTGAATGACTTCCCACCTCTCCAGGCGGATGAGCAGGAGTGGTAGGTAGGCCCTTCTTTTCACCATCCCAGATGGCAGGTCACAGAACCTCCTCTGCTGGAGACGTCTGAATGGTTGGGTTCTAGTTTAAGGGCGTCAAGCATAGAATCCCATCCGCACCTCTTCGACGTCTGTAAGTGGGGAGATTCCCCGTTCCTCATGGCTTCACGGAGCTTTTCACTCAAATATTTCATTGTTATACCTCACCCTGTCCCCAAAAGGTCTAGAAGTGAACTTGTGATGACAAACTAAATAAAAATCACCTAAGCAAGCATAAAAGAAGTTAAGGAAAGAAACAAGGAGATGACTGTACATTTTAGTATACAACGTGAATTAAACCCAGAGTCTAGTTCTGGGTATCTTGGCAGTGAAGAAAAAGTGAGACACTTTTGTGGGAGGCACTTTGAAGTTTATAAAATAGTGTACTCTTTTCAAATAAAGCATTATGCAATATTTGAAGAGATCCTTTTGTTTCAGTTTGTACATCTCAAACATTATAACAGTCCTCTCAGGCTGTATGCTCAAATTTCCTGCATGTTTTGGTGTTTCAGACTTCCTAGACTTGTTTAGCTGAGGGTAGATAAGAGTTGGGACGAGGATGTAGCTCAGTGGGGCCGCGCCTGCCTGGCAAGTGCAAAGTCCTGAGTTTGATCCCTGGTACCGAAAAAAAGAAAGAATAGATGAGTATATTGCTATAATCCCTCCTGATTGCAAGCTCATGTTCTAGAAAAACCCAGTAAGCGTTTCCTCTCTGTAATAGCCTTTTAAAATTTTTCTAATTCTAAAAATACTTGCTTCTAGTTTTTCTTTTTTTTAATGTATAAAATACTGAAAAGTGAGAATAAAAATGCCCCTAATGTTCCCTTGGGCCCTTCCAGATAACAGCCATCAACATTTCCATTGACTTCACTCCAGTATTTTCTCCATGTCTTTTGAATTCCCTTTTGACATTTTGGTTTGCCTCAACTAAAGAATTTTTGGCCCCAACCATGTAGAAGCATCCCGAATTACCAGCTCTTCAACCTTTTCCAGACTTGGAGCTCATTTTCCTTAAAATAAAAACTGAGCGACCATTTCTGCTGTCATCTTTGCGCTGCCTGCTTGAGCCCTGAGATCGCAGCTGGTGTTGAGGTTCTTGTTCATAGACACCGCTTCCACCAACCTCCACTCCAAGGTGGGCTCTACTTTGCAAACGGCAGGAGACCCTAGTTTAAGGAGAGACCTCGTTCCAGGCTTTCTAATATTCCCATTTTCTCAGTATTTTCCCTGGAGGCAGAGTGGGCTTTGAGAAAGGCCTCACATCACCGAGCCATTCCAAAATGAAGTCAGCTACACAGCTCTGAATGTCCTTGTCCTGTTTTATTCCAACAGGAGATCCCCAGAACTGAACGTATTACTTAAAACTCCTACCTCAACAGCTGGATCTTTACATGAATTGTGTTGATTTGTTCTTTCCCTCCTCACATGGAATATGAGAGAAAGACGTATTGAAGGCAGTAAGAGTAGTCATGTTAACACTGAGGAGAAAGCCCGTCAGGAAAGCCTGTGTCACCCTAGGGCCCCTGGGATCCCAAACACTGGTGGGAGGTGCCACAGACCCTGCCTGCTGTGCCCTGATGCCAGGAGAGGCTTCCTCTCTGAGGAGTCCAGCAAGTCAGCTTCTTTTTCTTTCACTCACTTTTGAGAGTCATGTTTGCTATATGCTAGACAAAAGGACTTGGTCCCATCGTCCTGAGGTGTCCACCAGGCAGCTGTTCTGCTGGACCACCACACACTTCCTTGGAGCCTCTGCCTGGAGCCAGCTGGTCTGAGAGGAAGCATCTCCCTCAGCATGATGGCAAAAGGCAACTGTGATGCAGCTGCAGGTCCCTCCTCTCCTCACACGCCAACAACCAGCCTGTCCCCGGATCTCTGACCTGACTGCGGGAAGGAGCAGTGGACACCGTGGGCAAAGGCCCAGCCCCTGGAAAGCACCAGAACTCTCTTATCTGTCTTGTCCAGGGCCTCTTGGGAGGCATCCTGACAGCACTCCTGCAGCCTCAGGTCTCCTGCCCACTGACACAAAGCTTCATGGAGATGTCCTAACCAGTAGGCTGTTCTGCCAAGCTAGAGCTGTCACACAGGATGCAGGAGGTAAGCATGGCTGCCTGCCCGCCACCGGGCTTTGCCTTGCCCTGTATCCTGCCTTCCTCCTGCCTCACTGCTCCCTCCCCCACATCTGGATCCAGAGAGTCTGGAGCTCAGCTCAGTGCTTCTTCTATTTGCTTTCATTGATCTCATCTGCAGGCAGGCCATAGGCCAACGTCCATCACTGCAGGCTGACTGATGATTTCTCCTATCTACATGCTGAACATGTGGTGACCTCCAGAGTCTAGGATGGCCTCCAAATTTCGGTCTCCAGCCACACACTTCTCCAGACCCCAGGCTCTGTACCTGCCTGTCTACTTGACAACTCCACTTAGAGATGGGTGAGAACCTGAGACCCCCACATTCGCCAAGTCAGAAATTCACTGCCCACATCTCTTCTGGGCCTGTGTATGTGTAAAAGAAAACAGGCTTCACACACAGTTATATGCCCACATTCTCAAGGCTAAGGAGTTATAGGGAGAGCTTCTCAACTTCCCAGAGGGCCTTGAGGCAGAGTGGTCTGTGTGCTGCAGCACTAGCTCAGCCCCATACCAGCCATATGACTTGAGGAGGATAATTAGCACTTCCCAGCCACAGACACCTCAGAGCACTGCTGCATGAGGAACGTGCAGGTCCTGGCACATGGAAGGCCCTTGGGAAAGGTCACTTTATCTTGTCCCTGCACTGTGCAGAGGGCACACTTTCAGAAACATCCTGGGAAACCATGACATTCCTTTGTCCCTGCTGTGGCCCACAGCACTGTTGCTTCAACTCACCTGGACCTTCAGGGCCTGCACACCTACAGCTGAAGTGATATTGACCCAGGGGCTCAGGCCTGTCCCCACTGCAGCCCTTCTGGGGAGGCCCTGCCTGTCTTCCATGATGCAAGTGCTGGTGGACTGTTGCCTCCTCCAGGGTGTGATCCTTATCCCCTCCCTGCTATTGTGCCCTCTTCTTTAGGCCTGGTCCATCTGACACTCCTAGCTGAGCTCAGAGCTGGAGAAATAGAGGCAGAGCCAACTGTGTTGAGCAGCAGGACCTCTTCACAGCTCTCCACAGATGTGGCCTGATCATGTCTGCCCTGAACCCCTGAAGCAGACAACACTGTTAGCCCCACTTCACAGATGAAGAAACCAAGAGGGGAAAAGGGTGACACACAGCCCAGACCCCACAGCCTGGAGCTGGTCTTGGAAGCTGTGCATGTGACACACCAGGAGGGGACTGGTAGCAAAGGCCAGTGTCTCACCTCAACACTGCGCCACAGAAGCTGTGTCTAGGCAGCCAGCTCTTTTCATGGTGAGTACAGCAGCACTCCACTCCCACAATGATGCCATCTGTAACTGACCACACAAGCTTGGGCCTGACCCTGAGGTGTCCACTGCTCCTGATGCTCTTCCTTGGAGACTTCAGCAGAAAGCCATTCCTGTGCTGATAAAGTACCTGACCCAAGAGGCCTGTGCTTGTTTTGTTCCTCTTCCCTACCTGACCTTGGCTACAGGACAGGAAAAGGATGGTCAAGGGTGATGTACTGGGTGACACAACTGTACATTCTGCCAGCAAGCATTCCCCAAGCAATGACAGATGCTGGAAGCTCTGTGGGATGATGAGAGAAAAGAGATCATTCCTGATTAATATTTTAACTAACTGATTTGTATTTCACATTGTCCCATACCTAATTTTAGATGATAAGGTGGAGAGTGGAAGTTGGGTGGAGAGAAGATATCAAAGCCAGGCCAGGAGAGAAACAGAGGCAGACTTGGGTTAAAAAATAGTCACATCCTTTTCCTCTAGAACTGCCATCCTCCAATAATTTGCAAAAATGATGAACACAAAAGGAAAGAGGAGGGGAACCTGGTAGGTGTTCTCTAGAAAACATGTTTTAGAAAACATGGGGTTGTTCCTTTGGTTCACATACACGTGAATCTACAAAAAGGGTGATATTGTAGACATCAAGGGAATGGGTACTGTTCAAAAAGGAATGCCTCACAAATGTTGCCATGGCAAAACTGGAAGAGTCTACAGTGTTACCTAGCATGCTGCTGGCATTGTTGTAAACAAGCACGTTAAGGGCGAGATACTTGCCAAGGGGATTGTCAAGGAAAATGATCAGAAAAAGAAGGAAGCCAAAGAGAAAGGGGCCTGGGTTCAGCCTGCCCCACCCAGGAAAGCACACTTCGTGAGAACCAGTGGGAAGGAGTCTGAGTTGCTGCAGCCTGTTCCCTATGAATTCACGGCATAAGCCGGGGATGTAGCTCTGCTGTGTAGCACCTTATTAGCGGCTGAGTGCCCTAAGCCCTACTTAAAAATTAAAAAATCATCCTGTGTTGTAAGCATGGTTTTCTTAATTGAACAGGTGTGTGGTGCCTTTACCTCAAAGAAACAATATTTGGAGCAGATTCTCATTATGCCCAGTTAATTGTGTCAGGTCTTTACTCTTCAGTGTTTTTCTCACTGAAAGATGTGAGGTATTGCACAGATGTATACCCAAATGGCCAAATATTTATGAAATGATTTATATTGGCTTGAAAATTCTCTAAATCATCTTGGGGGCAAGATGTATCAAAATAAATGGAAGTCAGGATGTGATATTTCAGTTAAATAAATTGTTTAAAGCAAAAAACAAAAGTCACATAATTAAAGGTTTGGACATTTGCCACAGCAGAGGGCACACATTTGGCTGTTTAGTTGGCAGTAGAAACTAAATGGATGAGTGAGACCCTTGCTGGAGGAAAACGTAAATGGTCCTGAAAGAAGGACGGGACATGAACTTCTTAGGGGCCCAAAAGAATGGCAATCAAAGCACCAAGCTCCCACCTGACCTCAAGCCAACTGGCAGCCCCTTAAAACTCAGTTTCCTAGGGCTGAGGATGTAGATCAGTAGCACCACACCTGCCTGGCAAGAGCGAGGTCCTGAGTTCAATCCCCAGCACTGGGAAAAAAAAAAAAAAAAAAAAAACCTTAGTTCCTTATAGCAGTTCTACAAGAGGGTTGCAACATAGTCTGGGCACCTCTCTGAGGGCCTGGCTCACTCTAGGGTAGGCCTAAATCAAGGACCTTATTTGACTCTGGCCATCTGATGGTGCCCTGCTCTCAGGCATTTGCTGAAGACCCACCCATCACCTGGAGGAAACGGCTCCTTCTCAATCTTTCCCAGGCTCCAGCATCCCACCTTCCTGAGCCCAATGGGGATATCAGTAACAAAAGCCTTTGCCCGTGAAAGGCTGGATAGCACAGTGGTGACACCCTTGCCCTTTGAAGTCAAGGAACCTCGGTTTCTTATTAAATACCAGGCATTATTCTTGGGCTTTGGGATAGATTAGGCTCCAAACATTACCATTTATCTGTTCCTTGTAGACCTCACATTGCTGTTGTGTATACAACAGCACAATTTCTGATGGACACTTAATCAATGTTAGCTGTTCCCATGCTGTTGAGGAGTTCATGGTGTTAACAAGAAATGCTGTGCTTCTTCCAATCAGTCAAGTAATTAATGACCCATAAGCAAGCCAGTTGTTGCTGGGTCCCTGTGTCACTGGAATATTTGGGGGAAGCCTGGTGTGTGCCCTCATAAAGTTTGCAATCCCAGTGAGGAGACAAACCCTGAGGTGAAAAAAAGAACGCAAAGAAGGTGTAACCTAAGCAAGTGAGAAATTGATGGTGATGGTGCCCAACCATGTGTCAACAGCATGGAGAGGGTGATGACACACCTTGACCTGGTAAACAGCTGGGAACACACCCCCATCCATTTCTTCCTTCTCCCCCGCCCTCACCAGTGAAATTGGGATTGTGTCCAAGCATCTGTCCTTCCCCATGAGCCCCAGCTTCCTCCTGGTTGGGGTGGAGAACCATGACCAAGTTAACTCCTCATGCTGGTCTCGTGCTTCTAGCCAGTGAAAGCTTTGGGAACAGGCACTCAGCTGGTCAGCCCTAAGAGAAAGGTGACTCTGGAAATCCACCCTTTATCTCCTGGGTTCTCTGCAGTCACCTGGATACCAGGTCCCTGGGCAGGCCATCCCAGATAACTGGGGCCCAGGGGAGGGAGAGCAGAAACCCCAGGGCCAGCCCCTCTTGGGACTCCTTTAGGTAGGAGAGAGGAGATGTTTTTATTAGCCAAACCAGTCTTGGCCTAGGTTTTCTGTGACCTGTAACCCAGAGCATCCAAACTAATAAGATAGGTGGTGAACGTGGGGGATTAGCAAGACTTGATCACCATCTATTATAGCCGTATGTAGATGTCCCCCATAGCCTCATGCAGTTCTAGGTGGTGCTTTTTCAGAGGTGGCTGGATTTAGAGTGTATGACTGATCCATGGTATAATGCTAAGCTAAAGGGCGCTAGAATCAAGGGTGTGGGTGCTGCCCACCCTAAGTAGCCTGGGTAAGATAAAAGGGGCAGAAATACACCGTTAAGGTCCCTTATTGCTTTGCTACCTTCTCTTTCTCCTCTGTGATGCCACCCTGCCTTGGAGCCAACCAGTTATGGACTGAAACCTTTACAAAGTGTGAGCTAAATAAACCTTTCCTTTTTTAACTCTGGATGTCTGGTATTTTGTCTGAGCAACAAGAGAATAATAACTAAGACACCTTCCTTACCAAATGTTCCTTACCAAGTGTCTGTCTCTCCCCCAGCATCTCTTACCTCTCTTCTGCTCTAGATCCTGTGTCCTTCCAGAATCTCACCTCCTCCTCCTCTCTTCCCAGATGTCACCTTTGTTTGGAAGCTTACTATCACTTTCTTCAGGTTTTACAGTAGCTCCTATCTTGTCCCCACCAACACCCTGCCTCTCTGAAGATCTGCCACAGCGTTCTTTCTGAGGTATGAATAGGACAGAGCAGTATGGGATTTTTAAAAAGCTACGCTCCCTGTTAAGATCTTAAAACAACATGCACAAACTTCAGTTTGTTCTTGGCTCTCTCACCTCTTCACACCCTTCCCTCATGGCCTCCAGCTCTTCCCTGCAGCTAGAGGCACCTCAGGCAGGCAGGTCTCCCCAGCATTTCCACACCTGCTAAGCTGCTGCTCCCCATATACACAGTCCTAACTCAGTCACCACTAGGTCCTCCTCTCCTGGGCCACCCAGGCACCTGGCCTTTGCCATCGTTGCACATGGCACTATGTGTCACTTTCTGTTTGTGTCTTGAAAAAGAAAATCATAGCTCAGTGAAAACTGACAAAACTTGACCATCACAATGAATTTGTAACTTTGAATGTGAGCTCATTTTACTTTAAATCATTCTATTTGACTTGTTTATTTCACTTATGAGTATATGCTCAAAATATACCCATTTTCCTATGAATGACTCTAATTTCTCATTCTTTATGGCTGAGTAGTATTCTATATAAGTCACACATGTAAATACCTAATAGTTTCTCTGGTGTGAAAAACTATAATAGTACACAAGATCCTAATGAGATTAACAATGTGAAATAGGAAGAAAAGGGCTAAAGGTGTAGGGAAAGTGGGAAGGGTAGGGGAAAGGGAATAAGGGAAAAGAAAAAAATATGAGAAAATGAAAAATGGAAATAAAGTGTTTGTAAATGGGGAGGGGAGGAGGGGGTGAAGGGAGGGCAGGGACAAGGGGAAAAAATGAGAACCAAGACCTGTCATGTAAAGGTACAAGATCCCAGTAATGAATGTAACTGTACTGTATACCTAGAATGTACCAATAAACTCAATAAAAATAAAAAATAAATAAATCATTCTATTTGAGGAGCACAGTTGTCTGAGCAGCTGTGACATGAGCCTCATTGTCACCACTGTCACCATTATCAGTGATTTGACAAAATATAATGCTGTGCTCGAGGTTAGAGGAGCCACTCTGAGAATCAGTGCCTCTGCCTGGCTGGTCTCCCTGCTTGCCATCTTTTCTCAAAGCAAACAAGGAAGCCAAGAGAAGCAAACAACCTGGATCGTAGTCAAATGATGCCACCCACACCAGCTCCGTGACAGGTTGATCACACAGATCAGCAGTCTCTCCATGTCCTCTTCCTGGTTACACTAACACAGGTCATGCCCTGTGCCATGATGTCATCAGTGGATAAATCAGCACTACACAGAGTTGGGCAACACAGCAAAAACCCACATTACAAAATAGGGAAGGATGTGTTGGCAGAGGTTGCAGGCTGTGCACAGTTCTAAATTCTAAACAAGTGTGGCTCCTTGGGGGTGAATTTCATGCGTGGAGTCTGGGATGGCAGGACTTGACATGGAAATGAAGCTGATGTCAGAGTGTGAAGGATTGTATGTGCCACATCTGGAGTTTGGAATTTATCCTGTGGCAAATGAGAGTATCAGGCAGGTTCTAGTAAGGTGGTGGGATAGGAAGAGGGAGATATGACCATCTCTGAGTTCTGAAAAATAACCTGAGGCCACGGGCTGGACCCATGAAGCCAGGTAAATGTGGTAAGCAAAAGGACATTCTGGTTGTTCCAAAAAAGCCAAATACTCTGTTCTAGGGTTATTGTTGTTTTCAGACTAACTGATCCCTCCATGTACCCTTTAGCATTCTAGAGATTTCTCATTTCCTAAACTGAATGAAGGTGAAGAGATAGTTCAGCTTTGTGCCTAAATTGAAGTTTTCCACTTGAAATATTTTATATGTCTCAAATACATCATCAGAACATTGTGGGCTGGGCCATCAAAATGCTACTGCAAGAGAAAGGTAACAAATTTCTAAGTTTTAGAATAGGACTCCATTATGCATTAGATGCAGACTTTCTCTCCAAAAGATCATATGTTGAGAGGACAGGTTTTGAAAAATGATGGCATCAGAAAGGGCCCTGGCATCTTCAGTGAGTTATCTGATAACCAATTATAATTTGATGGCATTGGGAGGAGATGGAAACAGGAGTTGGTGCTACTTACAGGGATTAGGTCATGGGAATATGACTCTGAAAAGTATATATTGTCCCTGGCACCTTATTCTTCAGCTCTTGTTCTCTCTCTGCTTCCCAGCCACCATGCTGCCAGCAACTTTTCTCCAGCTATAATGTTCTGCCTTACCTCAGTCCCAAAGCAGTGGAGCTGGCTGACCATGGACTGAGACCTCTGAAATCGTAAGCCAAAATAAACCTTTCTCCTTTAAGTTGGCGTTCTTGGGTATTTTGTCACAGTGATGAAAAGCTGACCAACAGAGGCTCAAAGATCAGCAAAATTGGAAAATACTGACAGAAGATTCCCTCCTGCCTGGACCAGGTGATTCTCCACAGGGTCCCAGCTCAACTTTGTAACAAACAATGTGGTATCTGACATAATGAAGGTACATGTGGCCTTGAGGTGTCTACTAGACCATTACTGGGAAACTAGACCAAAACTCCCAGATGCATCATGTCACACACTTCCTGTTCACTGTGTATGAGTTTCACCTCCGTAAAGCTAAAAAGATGTGGCTCCAGATTGTGTTCCACCTCTGAGGCATGTCCATAGATGTCCCCGTATCTGTCCCTATCTACATGCTCACCTATAGGATGGAGGTAACTCCTGCCTCCTAGTCAAATTGTGTGACACTTTGTATGAAACAAGCTGTCATGGCACTGGCCAGGAAGGCTTCTGGTGCAGAGACTATAGCCATATTTCTTCCTAAAGAAAATGTCCAGACCCACTTGGACCAGTGCATATGGATATGTGTGCATCCTCTGCCTGTTGAATCTAGCCCACCTTTTTTCACCCCTGCATTTGGTGGAACATTTTAGGATCTGTTCTTCATCTCATTGCCTAAAAATCATGGGACACACAGCAGACTTCCCTATCTGGTTTTCCATGGCTAGGTACACACATCAGGACTTGCTCTACTGTTTCTAATGTGCCATGAGAGCCCTGGATGTAGCTACCATCTGATCATCTCCTCTTCCATTCTCATCCCTACCATGAGGTGAAAGCAGAAGTCCTTGAACACCTGGGGCCTAACTGGCCACAGCAGGACTGCCCTACATCCTACATGAGATGAACTTGGGCAATACTGGTAACACAGAGAAATCTGTCTTTGAGATACTCATCACAGACTGGGGCATGTGGGTTTTCTGCAGCTGAGCTGTGTCCATCTGTCCCCCTCCAGGGACTAAAGTTCTTTTCTCTTTTTCTCCTTCTGACCCTTTTGTCTTCTCTTTGAGCCCCATGTGTTTTTCATATTTTTTCCCCTTAAAGAGCAACCCTGGCACAGAGCAACAGAGGAGCACAGAAGCAATGCAAGACCCTCTGGCAGGCCTGTCCCTTCTGCCCAGCACAGCAGAGGAGCCCAGCCATGTAGGCACCAATACAACAGTGCCTGTGCCCACCCGCCATGAACAAGAGAAAGAGGGCCTCTCTGAGGCTCCTAGATGAAAATTGAAACCCACTGGAAAAGTGAAGAAAATCTCTGCCATAAGGGCATACCACATGACCATAGATGGTAAGTCGGAGGGACCAGCACCTCACATCGGAACTTGGTCTAACTTCAGGGGAAAGACAGCTAGAACCTGCAGTAGAACCTTACAGAGTTCAACCTAGCAGGAGCTCAGGTAGTTCAATTTGAGCTTTGCAACTGGAAATCAGCCTGAACCTCAAAGGACAGCTCCTGGCTGGATGAGACTAACTTAGACCTGCATACTCCTGCCCATGCTGTGTATTGTGTCAACAGAGGCATATCCTGAAGAAGGTCCTCTATTTCTATTTGTACTTTTTATATTCAAAGTAATATTTTTCTCTTATCTTTAATAATTTTAAAATTTTTATTCGTTTTATTTTCTCAAAAAATTTTCCTTTAATCTTTTTCATATCTTCTTTTCTTTCTCTCTCTCTCTCTCTCATTCTCTCCCACCTTGATCTTCATTTCTCTCCCGTTTTGTTCCTGTTCCTATCCTAATACAAATTTATTTTCTTTCTTTTCCTTTTCTTCTCTTTTTCCTTCTTTCACTTGCCATTAGTTTTAAAAGAAAGCAATTAGAGCCTCTAGCCTCACTATTGCTGTTAATTTGTTCTGTCCTTGTGTATATTTTGTTCTGTCTTCCCCTCTTCTCTTCAACGGCTTCCTAGAGTTTGTGTGATCTTCCTGTGTCCTCTGACCTCACTTCTAACCTTCCTCTGTCCTATCTATCCCACCCTCCCCACCTCCTTCTGAATCCCCATTCTGGAAGGTAAAGTTGCTATATTGAAGAGTTTATTAACTGTAAACATTTTTTGGGCTGGTCCTCCATTTTGATTTAATTCACACAGTCAAAGATGATAGATTAATAACTACCACAAATTATCATTTTCTAAGTTGTGCTTGTTGCTGACTGTATCCCTTGGGCTGAGGTGTTGTGATTGATCTAATCAGTTGTCCTTGCTGGCATAATAAAAATGAGATTGCCTCAGAGTTGTTAGAGACAAAACTTCCAGCTATATCTGGAAGATTGAAGTATTAACCCAGGAATTAAACCAAGGACAGTACCAACAACAAAAACAGAAATGAGAAAACATTTAAACAAGGCACAAACATAGACTTCCACCTCACCAGAGGTAAACTCTGGGGGAAATGAGGCAGAAAGTCTGACAGTCAACCATCTGGACACCATGTATCGATAACACAGGAAGTAATAAAACAGATAAATGAGGCTCTAGAAAAAATCAAAACAAACAATTTCCCAGGTAACCACAGAGATGGTGAGAAGAATGAAAGACATGATTAGATGCTATAGAACAGAAACAGATTTTAAAAAATAGATGAGCTCAGGACTGTAATGGAAACCATGAATGCCCAATATACGAAAGAAATGGAATCCATGAAACAGATTCAAACAGATATCCAGGAGATTAAAAACTCTATGAAAGCATATGCACATGCATGCACACACACACACACACACACACACACACACACACACACACACACAGCATTCACAGCAGAATGAACGAATGTGAAGATAGAATTTCAGATATAGAAGATAGGACTGTGGTCAGTTGACCATGAAAAGAGAGATCGCTTAAAACAGTAAAGGATCATGGGAAATAGATCCAACAACTCTTAGATGATGCAAAGAAGAATAATATAAGACTGATAGGAATCCATGAAATAGCAGGAAAAAGTACAAATGACAAAATACTGTTCACAGAATTAATGACAGAAAACTTCCCAAACAGAGGGGAAGAATTTGACATACAGATAAGTGAGGCATATAGGACTCCAACTGGCCATGATAAAAAAAAAAAAAATCTACACCTAGATATATAATAATCAAGATCCAAGAAACCCAATAGAAGAACAAAATACTACAAGCAATCAGAGAAAAGAAAAATCACATGCAAAGGCAAGCCCATCAAAATCACAGCAGACTTTTCAACACAAAGCCTCAAGTTAAGGAGAGCCTAGAGTGAGGTATTTCAAGTCCTAAAAGAAAACAACCTCCAAACTACACTGATGTATCCTGCAAAACTATCTTTCATAATTGATGGGGAAATAAGATACTTCCAAGACAAAGAACACCTGAGAAATTTCATGAACACCAAACCAGCACTCCAAACCCTTCTAAGCAATATTCTGGAAAAAGAAAATGAAGGCCATAACTCCATAAAGGCCAACAGAGCAAAAATACCAGGCAAGGCAGGAAGTTAAATGGAGAGAACAAAAAATAAAAAATAAAAGAACCAACAACAGGAAAATAACATGACAATGAAAAGTCAATACGTAACACAGTTATAACCATTAATACTAATGGCCTCAATTCAGCAATCAAAAGAAATAGACTAGCAGAATAGATTAAGAAGCAAAATCCAACAGTATGCTATATATAAGAAACCTACTTAATCCACAAAGAAATTCATAGACTGAGAGTAAAAGGACAGAAAACAGTTCTCCATGTGACAGAAACCCAGAAAAAAGTGGGGGTAGCTATCTTTTTTGCAGACAGATTAGATTTCAAACCAAAACTAAATAAGAGAGACAAAAAAGGCCACTACATCCTTATAAAGGGCACAAGAGGAAGAAATGACAATCATAAATATATATGCACCTATATATATATATATATATATATGCACCAAATACTAATACAGGGTCCACTATGAACATTCCCGACCATGCTCCTGTGCTCTCAGTGCTCCCAGCATATGCCTAGGAACTCCCAGATGCATCGCTTAATGGAAGTCACTGCAGCAGACATCCATATCTTGTTCCTGATCTGAGGGGGAAAGTGGCCCAGATCCAGTTAAAGTTCTCTGCTAGTCCTGATTTACTGAGTGTTTTTAACCTGAAAGCAGTGTTGTCAAATGCTTTTTTCTGTATCTATCGAGATTACAATGTGATTTTTATTCTTTGCTGTACTAATATATGTTTGATTGATATTTTTATGTTAAACCTTAGTTTCATGGGATAAATTCCACTTGATCCTGGCATTTAATCCTTTTTATATAATGCTAGACTTGCTATTTTGTTGAAGAAATTTCTATATATGGGATATTGATCTGCTTTTTTTTTCATGTGATGTCTTTTACACAAATGTCCTCATAGAATGAGTTATGATGTGTTTACTTTTCTTCTCTTTGTGTTTGTTTGGCATTCATCTTTAAGCACTTGGTAGCATTCACCCATGAGGTCATGTTAACCTAGGCTTTTTCAGGGAAGTTGCCAATGACTAATTCAGTTTCTGTATTCGTTATAGGTCTACTCAGACTTTTCTGTTTCTTGAGTCAGTTTCAGGAGGTTTTGTCTTTCTAAGAATTTTTCCAAGTGACCTTAATTCTTCCTGCTAGTAATTTGTGATTCTCTGTCTTGCCAGTGGAAATTCTTGTTAGCATATATCAGCACACTTGATGTCCTGTGGATCTCCAAGGCTTTGTTTACATTTCTTTAACCTTTTGTTCTCTATTCTTTAGACTGGAGAATATCTACTGAACCATCTTCAAGTCTGCTCTCAGTCTTCCACTTCCTCTGGTCTACTGTTAGGTCCATTGAGTGGCTATTTCATTTCAGTTACTGTTCTTTGCTAGTTCTTTTTCATACTTTCAATTTTCTTACTGTTGTTTTCCTATTTGGTTAGTAAGTCACTATCAACATGCTTTCCTTTTATTCTCTAAACCTGGTTTCCTTTAATGCTTTGAATCCAGTTGTGACAGCTGCAAAGTATTTTCTGCTGAATCGTTTCTGGACATTTACAGTCACTTTCTATTCGTTATGTTGTAAGAATGGACCACACTTACCTGTTTCCTTGGCTTGTCTTAAACTTATTTGTTGTCGAAATTGGACATTTTAGCTAACATTGTTTAGCAACTCTGTGTTCTGCCTCTGTTCGTGTTGCTGGTGGTGATGGTTTTTAGCAACTTTCTCAGTCTTTAATTAATACAAATATATCAATACTGGCTTATCTGCAACTTGTGCACCAAATTATTGGGAGGTTTCAATAAGGAAACAGAATATGGGATTTGTAGGAATTCTCTGTCCTATTGTTACATTTTTCTGTAAATCTGAAGCTATTTCCAAAACCCAGATTTTTAAAAAAGATGGTTAAAAAAATAGGTTGGAAACTTTAAAGTCCACTTCTAAATGATACATGTATTAAGGGAAAATAAATGAGAATATGAAATCCTTTAGAACTGCTGACAGTAAAAGTAATTCACATGAAAACTTATGGAGTAACAAAACCTGCACTTAGAAAGGCTTAACACACAGATCAGGTTCAAGTACTGCACACCACAAAGTTCACTTTTCAACTCTGAATAAACTTGGAGCCACCAGCTCCAGCGAGGAAGGCTGCCCTGAGATCTCTCCCACCACCTGCTTGGGCCCATTCAGCCAAGAGTTCATGACCCCTCTCCCCCTACCCCGCCATTCTCAAACCTCCTAATTGGACCAGTCCTTGGACCCACTCTGCAGAGTCATAGGTGGTCATAAAGGGTATTTTGCTGAGCTCCCAACTTTGAACATCTTTAAAGAAAGGGTGATGGAAACCTGTAATAGAACTGTGTGGAGTTCAACCCTGCAGGTTGGGGAACTCAATTTAGGCCTTGTGGTCTGAAGTCAGTCTGAGTCACAGGGATCTGCCACTGGCTAGCTGAGATCAGGGGACTTGGTTCTGCACATGGCTGTGTATATGGTATATTATGACAGCAGAGACATAGTCTGAAAGAGGCCCTTCAAATTTTTTTTTCTTTCTTTTCCTCATCCCACCCTGCAATTTCTTTTTTCTGTTCTCTTTCTCCAACTCATTCTCTTGCTCCACCATATTATCCCTCATCTCCCTTTCTATTCCTGCTCCTGCCCTAACTCAGACTTCTTCTTTTATCATTTTTTCTTTTTTCTTTATGTTCTTTTCTTCTGTCATTTCACCTCACTCATGGGTCAGTAGTTTCAAAGGAAAGCGAGCCCCTGTTACTGTTAAGGGGGCATATTCTTGTCCTTGTTCTTGCAGTCTGACTATCCCTTTTGAAGTTAAGGAT